GAGAAGTCTTTGCAAGGCAGGTGCTCTGAGCAATTGTTACCTCTTGAGTTTAGCTCCACTAAACTAACCAAACCAGGAAGTAACCAGACCTGTTTGTCGTCTGACAGCCAGTGAGGTGTAACAAGGTTAATTTGTAAAAGTGCAAATTTCTATTGAACTGTGCACTTTTTGTAAAAGGAAATTGAGGACATACTCTTCACAAATAAGTCACATCATCGAGCTAAAAGGGCTTAGGGGTCTGGAGTGTCCTTTTTAAGTATTTACAGTATCTTGTTATGATGACCGTATACGCTGTCTATCATTATCCTTGTAATTATTCATCCAGAGAATGGTTAAATTTTGCATCGTATATACGTCACCGCTTGTGTTTGTAAAGTGCTATTTGAAACTGTTCCTAAAGCTGACGTTGAACTTGTACATGATGTAAAACAGACACTGAACCTTAAATCAGAGTTTGGTTTCTGGGAGGAAACCATTTTTTTAAAGATTCCATTAGAAATGTGAGTTTCGCTTAAACTCTATTACCTTGTTAGGCAAATAATATAACGTTGGTCATTGGTAAGACAAGTTAAAACTTGCCTCTTGTAGTCTGCACAAAATGCCACTATCATACTGTCTTTGTGGGTGATACGCAAACATTTCATCCTCCCACCCCCTTCCTACACTGATTGGAATCACTATCCAAGGCCAGTGAAATTAAAGGTGGAGTGGCTGTGGGGGAACGGGAGAGCCGCCTGTAGGAGTGTATTCCTGCTTTTCTTAGGCCAGTCAATACTCTGCATAAAAGTCTATGCTAATATGTGTTTTTTACAGTATGGAGTGGGGGCAGATTGATTTAAAATAAAGTATTTAAACATAAATGTAGTGGTTAAAATTATGCTTATATGGTCACAATTTCAGCTATTTCATTCTCAAATTAGCTTAGGTTATTGAGCAGGTCAGAATGTGTGCAATTTTGTACACACCGTTACATCACAATTCTTCAAACCATAATTTTATTAAGTTCAACAGCTTAGAGACCATAAGAGTGTAAAATAACAAATCCCACTAGCTTGTAAAACATCACAGGAATTTGGATCTCCAGAGCAGATGTATCACGCATGTGTATTAAACCTGTGATTGAACTGCCCAGGCTTTGAATTTTACATTTATTTTTTAATTAAAAAGGCAGACCTCTTAGTGGTGGTATATAATTTTAGTTTTTATTTATATTTCTTTACATTTTTTTTTTTTTTCCATTTGTGGATTTTAAAAACCTTTTTCTTTACGTAAAATGTGACATTGCCTCTTTAGTAAATGCGTAGGTAGATTTTAATTTGTATTTTAGGGTTTTATGTTTTCCATTAAAAAATTATTGCTTAGTCCCTTATGAAATACCAACTAAAATTAAGTTTAATATGTCCTTTATTGGAATTAAACATAAATATAGCAAAATCCTATTCCAGCTAAGTGATTCTGCAAAATAGTCATGTTGGCCCGTGAGGGGGCTTAAAGTACATGAAGAATTTTAAAGAGAGGGCTTTTCATGCTTAACATGTTCGATGGTGTTTGGAGTCACATGATACAGTTGCTGAGTAAATTGGAGGATTGTTTTATTGAAACCAAAGTTGTGAAAATCAGAAACCTAAAATTATTTGATTTGATTGCCACATTTTACATATGCTTCCAAGTAATATTTTAGATTGAATAACAGAGTCTGACTTGGTTATTCAGCAGAAGTGTCAGGAAATCAGCCCAGCAAGGTGTTAACCCTGCAATCATAACATTGCTGTATCTACTATTGTACAGGGTTAAACCTAAAGGGCCACTGCACCCAGACCACTTAATTGGCAAGCCTCCTGTTTAAGAAATGTGGTTTACAAAAAGCTGTGTTGCTAGGTTTAGCCGTAGAAGTTTTTCTTTACTGCTCATATACAAACATGGTGGTATACATGTAGCAAAGTATTACAGACAAACAGCTAGTCACACCTTACAATTCCATTAGACAGAGGTAGCAGTAGGACATGTCAGTTCATTCTACATCAGATTCTGTCGCTACAGGCAAATGGTGAAATTCCACTCTCTCTAACCCCATAAAAGGACTTTTATTAGTTCTTCATACACCAGCCACTGTCAGGAACAGTTATTCGTGTGTGGTTCATTCTTATCTGAAAGTCTAAATAATAATCAAATTCTCCAGTTAAACATATATCCTAAAGGTTTCAGGTTTAACGCAACAATGACATCTACAAAACAGTCTCCAGAGAGCAGGTATACAAATATGAATTATATTTTTATCTCAGACATTTGTTATGGCTACCCCAATAGTTGCAAGTAGGTATGTGCATAGCCATGATTGGTCACATCAGGCACAGTATATGTATGCTTTAGCAGAGGGTTGTAGATGCTAGTATATATTTTTGAGCCTATCAGACCTAGGCAAGAGCTAGATACCTGGTGTAAACTTTTAGAAACCATGACTTGCTACGTAATGAAGATAAGAATTTAAATCTGTAGTTTATTATAAAAATGTTTAAAATTCAAAGGCTCAATTTCCAGCTTTTTGGACACAACTGGTTTTTGAGATATCAAGCTGTACTTAAAGGGACACTAAGCAAAAAAAAAACCTTTTAGTTTAAATTAAGTTGTTATGGTGCCAGAAGGCTCCTGGAGGCACTCTTACTTCAAGGAGTTATATAACCCCTAAGTTGCCTCCAGCAGCGATGTCCACTCCCCTCCCAACCCCCCACACGGCATCCAGCTTCTGCCAGGCAGGAACGCCACTGATACATTTCTTTCCAAGCTAATTTAGTAAGTGGAGAGTAATTGATTGGCTGAAAGAATCAGCTGCCCGCTCTCAGGCAACCGCTCTGCCCCTGAAAGTGAAATTTCAGAAGCCGGATGCTGCCTGAGGGGAGTTGAAATCGCCGCTGGAGGCAATTTAGGGGGTAATCCGTTCGAGAATGGTTTAACCTCTTGAGATAAGAGTGCCTCCAGAGGTCTCCTGGCACCAGAACAACTTCATGAAAAAAAAAAAAAACTTCATATAAATGTAGTATCTTTTTCATGAAGTGGTTTTGGTATTCATAATGTCCTTGTAGTCTCACTGTTCTATACTCTGCTATTGAGGAGTTATATCACTTTGTTTATGCAGCCCAATACTTATGGTAAGTAGCCATGTACTTATACAGCTAAATGCTGCTTTACACTTTATACCACCAGCAAGTGACAAACATGGCGGCATAACCCAGCTAATCTACAGAGGCATTAAGTATGAGGTCTGTTGGGTAATGGCTTTCTTGTTTTAGGTGTAACCATTCTCACAGTCAATCAGTGTCTCACTATGGATATAGTTAATTTGATGTCCTCAAAATGAGATCAGATGACTCTGCATGCTTCATAATGAAACATGGGGGTCCAGGTTCTGGGCATGTGATAATTGCATCTCTTAACAAATAATGATCTATGTGATTCGTATTAGTTATTTAATTTTTCTCATTTTCTTCCCCCCAAATGACTGAGCACATCTTTATAAATCAATTCTCCGTTTATTTTTGGAAGCTAATTGCAAATAGAAAGCTATCCGAGTTTAGCAGCAGCTTTTAAAATGACATTAGGAAACATCAGAGGGACCTGTTCTTTTCGACCTTGATCTACATTGATCTGATGAGAAATACTGTGACTGTTTTAAGATGGATTGCACATGAATATGTCCAAAATATGGATGCATTCACAAAGTACAATTAGTACTATGTTGTAGTTTGGAAGTTTAATTTAAGATATAGACTGGCAGGGACAGCTGTCCTAGACCTGTAATGTCTCACCGTGGGCACTGTGGATTTTTAATAGACATGTAGTCTAAATACACATCATTTTCTTTGTTTTTTGTCTTTTTTTTTCATTCTGGCTATTTTTCCCCATAAGAGAATATATGTTTCATCTCAAGCCTTTTATATTTAAAAGATGCATTGGCAGAGTTAATATATTTTAGTTTGTAGAAATTATACAACCTACAGTTACTATGTAACCCTCTATGAGAGAAAAAATATGTGCGGTTTACCCATAACAATACATCCATTGTAGAAGCCATGACTCCTGGGAGTGTGACAGTCCCAGGAGTAGTATTTTTCATATGGTGTTGATTTATTCCGCTTTTAAAGGATGAGAGGTGCAGCCAAAACATGAAAAGCATCTGCAAATATGGACAAGTGGCAGATTAATCTTCTTTAATTCAATACGTTGGGTCTTGTTGTGTGCTTGCTTTTCTGAAAGGGAAATATGGGATACTCGCATATGTTAAGTGCAGTAGTCAGGCTAGTCTGTAGTTCTAGACTTTGGGTTTTTGTAATCTTTATTTTCTTTTAAAAAAAAAATCAAACTCCTTTCTATCCATCCCTCTACCATAATGTTTTTACAATTTTACACTATTAATTCAAATGTCATCACATACAACTGTGTTATCTCTATAAGCATCTCTACAGCAAGGGTTTCTGTCAGCAGCTATGTTTGCTCCTTGCATTGAAAAGACTGGCTCACACTTTTAGTGCATTTATTTTTAAATAAAACTTCAAAAAACGAAAGGTAGCTTGAAGTGTCTCCATTTAAAAATGTTCATGGCTGAAAGGTGCAGATCAATCTATAATAGACATGCTCTTGTATGTCACCCTTTCAGAAATAGTGAAGAGTAAAGAACATGTTAATCCATAGTAAGTAGTGCATTTTTTTATTTTTTTTTGTAGTTCCCATTAATCATTAATTCAATAAGTTTTTAAATAAAAGTTGCTGAGGCGTTTTTGCTGCAAAAACAAGGCCATATGTGAGTGTGCAGTTTAACCGCCAATTGGAAAATGCTGAATGGATGACACAAGCTACTAGATTCATTGTTGCATTACTACGCACATGGGTCTCCATGATGTTGTGTGTGTTATTGTAGTTTGTACAGCTATATGTCCTCCCGTAGCTCTGACACAGGTTTCCGCACATCGCAGGCTTCTCTGATCTGGCAGGAACTCGAGGCCGAAGAACAACTCCAACTTCACCTGGACCTGCCACGGAGCTACCGACCCCCTTCCGTCCATGATCCCACCGCTCAACAGCTCTCTGAATACTCTGATGAAACTCGAATCCGATATTTTGTCCTTGGTACCATGGCAGCAATTGTTGCCTTTTTTCTGAACGTGTTCTATCCACTTATGTACCAATCACATGGATGATAGTGTTACAGAAAGTTAACATTGATTCTAAATTGGGCATTTTCTAATCTGGACTCTGAAATGCAGTCTGTATTCTCCTAGCTTTTAATGTTGTTGCTATAACTGTTTAAAAGATGTCTCTATTTTTATGCCCTGTAAATATGTACAAATAATATTTATAAAAAAAATCTGTGCAGACTAAAATACACTGTAGAATGCCTGCTAAATATGACAGAACAGAATATTCTTAAGGTTGCATTAATGTGAAATGCTGTCATAGAAAGTACATGCAAAATACAGTGTCTCTTAAGCCTGCTCTTTTAAGCAGGGTGATAATGAATTGCAGAAAACTGATGGACAGGCAAATTAACTGTAAGATAATATTGATGTTTGTTTTTTTGTTTGTTTGTTTTTTTTTTAATTCAAGGATCCTAAATATTCTGTGATGTTCTATGGACGATGGAAGCCCCTTGTATATTCTAGTTAGTGCTTAATTTTTTTGCAGCCCCTGATATCCTGATAAATCTCATTTGTTTGACTGTACACTGTATATATGTAGTATTTACCCAATGAGGGCAATTTATAAAAAAAAACTTTGTTAATCCACAGTTCTATGTTGGTAGCTTTGGGGCATCTTTTGAGTGCTTGAAGGAACAGCAATCAGCTTGTTCTGTTTCCCATGCCTCTTTGCATTCAAACCATTAAAATAACAGTAAAGTGGGGAAAAAAAATTAAAACATTTTTTGGGTGTTCATATTGAAATCTATGCAGTGCTTATCAAGTCTCCTTTATGTCCAAAATGTGTTTTCTTCCAGCTGCCATTGAAAAGTTTTTACATTTCACTGGAAGACAATGTATCGTTTTCATGACATGGTTAGGCACATCCCAATATTTAATAGTATAAATACCATGTTCTTATTGGGGAGGTCTCCTTTATAACAAAAACATGTGTTTGTAAAAATCCACACCACTGGATTATGTCTTCCCCTTTGCACCTAGCCGCCAACAACCATTACATTCTGCAGCTTTTCTTACTTAATAATCTCTTTTCATTTTCTCTTGGTCTTAAAGGAACAATTTAGCATTAGGGATTACAAACATGTATTCCTAATGCTATAGTGTACCCCTACCTTATTTAGATGTTGTAGGGGTTTTACTTACATACACACCATAGCGTCCTGCTCCTATTTCAGCTCCACCTCTTTAGCTGAGATCATCCATGTTGATAATTTCAGGCAATCCAATGCTTCTGTAGTAGGGAGTCATTGGGAGGCTAGGTCACATGCACATTATAACACAGTTTATGCACCAATCAAATGCTCTCACTGAGAATTATTTGAACTGTAACAGAGTTTAACTCTGTTATAGTAGAGGAAGTGTCTCAAGTGGCTACTTCTACAACTCTACTGGCTGTCAGGAAGGCAAAGAACCTCAATTATTAAACGCTAGCGGAGCTCCCTTACAGAGCTCCGGTGCACTTTACTACCTGGTTAGTTAGGTGTGTTAGTCCTGTAATGAAAACATTGCTGCTCCTACAAATAGACAATGTGGGGCATGGCATCCTAAACAATTCATGAAGATGAAGTGATCTAGGTTTGCTGTTGAGTATCTGTAATGAATAGCCATAGTAAATGCTTGCAAGTCTTATTGGGCATGTAGTACAGTTATCAGATAATATAAAATACAGAATTATAGGAATGACAATTATTCCATTTTTTTTTTTTTGTTGTTTCTATGTTATCATTTCTTAAAGATAATATTTTTAAAGTTTAATGAATTGAATGTCCCAGTGTTATTCCTTGGCCCTAATTTTTAATACAGGAACATTAGTGTCAGGAATACAAACCTGTATTATTGACACTATACAGCTGAAGTGATTGGTACCCTCTCTGTGGAGATTAAAGTAGATTTTACTCCCCTTTTCTCCCACACTGCCCTGTCTCACAGGGGCTGGCTCCGCCTCCATGGCTGAAGTAATCTTGATCACAGCAAATCCAATTCTTTGCCATAGAAAAACATTGGGAGACTATTGCCGATCTGCGGCAAAACATTGTACTGCGCCAATCAGCATCTCCTCATAGAGATACAATACATTTCACACACTGTGTAGCACTGATCTAGGAAGGACCTCTAGTGATTATCTTGAGTGACTGACACTAGAGGTGTAACTAGTCAGCAAAGTAAACCTTCTTTGAAAAGGCTGCATTTACAGTGCTAACAATTCAGGCACAGCAGAAACACTACATTAAAATGCAACTACTCATTTATGTAGTAAAAGCCAGGGTGGTATAGAACTTTCAGTGCACAATATTTCACCCTGGCATAAGGTATTTATGAAACCGTTTGTCATCACTGCTGATAATGTCATTTAACCTTTAACTAAACCCAAACTTGTAAATATTCAAGCAAGAATGGGTATGTTAAATTTCACAATAATGTAATCATTTGCAAAACACCCTGCCCATATTTTGTCTACTCTTTGAGTAGATTATCAATATTTGTAGTAATAATCAAAAATATCTTTAACCCCTTAAGTGGTTGGATCATTTCCTTTATAATCATGATGTTGGTCATGAACAGGTCAAGAATATAGTGACTTGGTTATTTCTCCATAGAACCATATCGGTCAAACATTCCCTCTGTCAGACAAAGGCATGTTGCAGTATTTTGCAATATGATATTCTTTAATAGATTTAAACGTCAATACCTAAATATAGCTTTGTAAAGCACAAGCCAGAGTATAGTGTGGAAACGGTTGCTGTTTGTATACTTGGAATTATACTATATTGTTACAAGCCGTTTATATACAATATATGAACAATGCGACTCTTAAAGTTTTTTTCCTTTTAATTGCAACTTCTCGTTTATATAAAGGTTTAACCAAATAAGCCAGGCTTTGATCTCTTTTTCATTTTCATACTTAAAATACTTGGGTTTAACCCGATAATCCAATTAAATCCAAAAATGAATGTGCTAAGCATTTTTTAAATTGTTTGATGCAAAATAGTCTTGGGTTACGCGTTGTTTACATACTGGAGAGGTTCACTAATTTATCTACTTCAGACTGGCCCAGGACAGTGACATGTAAAAAAGTTATCGTTGATGGACTTTATTTCCCATAATTCCTGCAATCGTGAGAACTGTTGTCAAATAGCTCAAGGGCCAGGGATTGGATGTTCCTTGGTCTGAACATAGAAAAAGTATTTCAGTTAGTGATCTTTTCCTACCAACTGTTTACTTAATAGTGTACCTTCTTTTTTTTTTTTTTCACTGCAGTCATTCATACAAAATCAAAACTAATTCAGATAGTAATAATGAAAAAAGTGTGTGTGTGTGTGTGTGTATGTATATGTATGTGTATATGTGTATATATATATATATATATATATATATATATATATATATATATATATATATATATATATATATATATATATATATATATATAGTGTGTGTGTGTGTATGTATGTATGTGTGTGTGTATATTCCTGATGAAAGTCCCAGACGAGGACTGAAACGTTGAGCTGCCATTTTTAACATGTATTAATAAAATCTACAACTTTCAATCTTCAGGAAAACCGTGAGTGCTGGTCATCTTTACTCTTTGGATATATATGTATGTATGTATATGTATAATATGCCATTTTATGGGGGTTAATGATGTAATGGAGAGGTAGCAAAATATAAACCGCACCTCATTGAAGTGGTCTGGGTGCACCATCCCAGTCACCCTTAGTCCTCAAATGTAAAACGTATATTTGGAGAAGTCTATCTGACTTTGTGAAAGACACTGGATGTCCTCACACGCTGCATAAAATTAGTTTATTATGGTCACAATGTTTTTGAACTCCAGTAGACTGAATTGCTACAGAAGATGTTTATCCATTTTGGTTGATATTTTCTGCTTTAAATCTAGAACAGAACTTGATTTATTTTTTTGTACTGTTGAGCTTTGGAAATAGTGCAAGATCCTACGAAACTCTAGCTTTGTAACAAGTTTGGATACATTCAATCTGAAATATCACAATGTCTGCCTTGAAAATAAAACTTAAATGTAAAGAACAGTACAGAATTCCTTGCAATGGGTTTTTATTCACTAAATTTCAAATTGTAGTCAATTGAAATTAGAATAACAAATTTTAGGCAAACAAAAAGAAAGTATTGTGGAATGTTGCCCTTTGGATTGTCAGTACAATTTGGAGTTTATTGAATGAATAAATGAGTGATAATATTTCTCATAATTGCATTCTTGCACCAAGGTGTGTGGGGGTTTTGTTTGGTTTTTTTTGGGGGTGGTTCTATAGCCTCCCAGTCTTTATCCGGGCAACTTTTGGGGAGCGTTTACTGTACTCATTGGCAAATAAAGTAGTCACTCTTCTGTCTGGAGTACTGTAGCTTCTTTTAAGAACTGTGTGCTGTTTATAGACTGAAACTCTCATTATCTGATCATGTTTAATAGGATTTGCAGTACATCAAACACCTGCACACAATATAATATTACCTCACTCTAAGTAACATAATCACTATAGCTGTAGTTATAATGCCTAGGGTGTCCTGATGGTGTTTATTGGTTCTATGTCAAAGCTTCCATCTCGGTACCCAGGCATTTCCCACTTAGCCATACTGATAATTAACACTGCTGCATTATCAATATCCATGTACAAAAATTACAAATAATGAGTTAGTGCTACTTAAGCATTATCAATGCTGAGGAGAATGGATTGGTCTCTGGGAACTGGAAAGAGCCTTGTTTTAGGTCAAATAGTATATTTAAAACTAGCTAACCATGTCAGGACGTGTGTGTGTGTGTGTGTGTGTGTATGTATGTATATGTATATATATGTATATGTATATGTGTGTGTATGTGTGTGTGTATATATATATATATATATATATATATATATATATATATATATATATATATATATATATATATATATATATATATATATATATATATATATATATAGTGTTCAAGTAGAGATTGTAGCCGTATTAGTCCAGTGATGTAGATGTAAAAAACAGATAAAATTCTTATCTTGTAATACCTTATTTATTGGACTAACAGAATTTTTTAATGACAAGCTTTCGGGAGAACCTCCCTTTCTCAAGTCTGAAGCATTTCTGAGCAAAACGAAACATAGAATTCAAAGTTGAGTTGTGATACAGGGGTTAAAGCGACATGAGTGTAGATAAGACACAGGTTTGTTAGAAAATAGACACCATCTTATGACCCTCTGCTAAGATGGTATCTATTTTCTAACAAACCTGTGACTTGAAGTCCAAACAGTTCTCCGCAAAGAAAAACAAGGTATTACAGAGATAGAGCACATCTGTTTTACATCTATATATATATATATATATATATATATATATATATATATATATATATATATATATATATATATATATATATATATATATATAATTTTTTTTTTTTTTTTTTTTTTTTTTATATACCCTTATCCTTATAGCAGCCATATTTATGCAGCTGTCCATTGCATTTCAAACTTGTGTGCTCTTTCTTAGGCAGACAAATGCTAGCAGAATGCTTGGTTGTATAGGGAGAGGTATTAGCAGTAGAAAGAGGGAAGTGCTCGTGCCATTGTACAGAACACTGATGAGACCTCACTTGGAGTATTGTACGCAGTACTGGAGACCGCATCTCCAGAAGGATATTAATACCTTAGAGAGGGTTCAGAGAAGGGCTACTAAACTGGTTCATGGATTGCGGGATAAAACTTACCAGGAAAGGTTAAAGGATCTTAACATGTATAGCTTGAAGGAAAGACAAGACAGGGGGGATATGATAGAAACATTTAAATACATGAAGGAAATAAACACCGTAAAGGAGGAGACTATATGTAAAAAAAAAAAAAAAAGGGGACATAGTCTTAAATTAGAGGGCAAAGGTTTAAAAATATCAGGAAGTATTACTTTATTGAGATGGTAGTGGATGCATGGAATAGCATTCCAGCTGAAGTGGTAGAGGTTAACACCGTGAGGGATGCGTGGGGTAGGCTATCCTAGCTATAAGATAAGGCCAGGAACTAGTGAAAATATTTTGAAAATTGGGCAGACTAGATGGGCTGAATGGTTCTTATCTGCTGTCACATTCTATGTTTATGAAAAGCGAAGTAAAGTTGCAAAATTGTGAGCATTGGGTCAGATAACTGACAAAGGGCTTACAGAAGGCTGTCAGGGGGAGTGGAAAATAGGCAAGAGAATTCTTTAAAAAATGTCTGTACGTGAATTCAAAAATGAGATTGCATATTGTAAGAAAGGTTATAAAGAGATATTGCACATTTTTCATGACATTGTTTCTTTCATTATCGAATTATCTGTATTAATTGAGATTCATTTTAAGGGAATAAGTGATAAAGTAATGCAATAATGTCTTGCTGTTAATAACATGGATTAAGTCAAATATCCGTGTATTTTTATACCTAAGAGCTAACTGTGTAAAATATACAAAAGATGCTTTTGAGCTAGCTGTAAAATGTATGCATAACTGCTGTTTTAAAATATTGTCTTATATTTATAATTTTAAATGTTTTAAGGGATGAAGAAAAATAGTTTTGTTTGGAATGCTTAAATAAAGAGCTTGCACTTTTATTTATAATTTGTGAACCAAGATTTATTTTATTAATTTTAAGCCCTTCGTCACCGTTGTCTTATGTAAATTGTGTGTACGTTGTACAGAGCTACAGGATTTATCGGCTGATACAAGACAAACACAGTGACTTCAGAGTTTAGCACGTTGTTCATTGATAAATGTGCTTTTATCTCATGTGTGTCTACGTTTATCTTTTCTTTTCTATCTTAGTGTATTATGTACCTATATAATGGATCCAAATCTGTCTGGCCCTCTATTCAAGGAGTTCAGTAGATTTGGGGTATATTATTGCACCCCGTGTTTCCACATCAATAAAAATCACAATGCACTTAGTCAATGTGTGTGTGACACAAATAAGAATTAATTAATTTTTTTTGGTTTTGTCTTTTTTGTTTATTTTCCTTCTGATTGCATTTCTGTACTTAAATAGTTGTCATTAGGTTATGAAGTCCTCTCTAAACATTGTCTGAATTAGCCTTGTCCCTGCTGCATTCCTACAAAAAGTGTCCTTTTGAAATTTTAGATTTCTCCTGTAAGGGAGGGAGTAGGATAATGTGTCTGGATTATTAAGCCTTGCTGGATGATCGTTTGACATTCTTGTAATACAGAGTGATTGTTGGATAATTAGGCTGGAGTCCTATTGAGGATATTCACCAAAGTGAGAATTGTCAGGAATTCAAAGTGAGAGTCAAATTTAAAGCAAAATGGCTGTAAATGATCCAATTAGGCTTCCAACTCTATCTAAAATTGGAAATTTTACTTTGAATTCCAACAATTCTCACTTTAGTCCATAAACATGTTTATGCATATACTTCTTTTTTGTGCAGAGAAAAAAAAAAACAAGAATGTGTCTTGGCAAAGCTGGATTGGAAGGGACACCTCATGGTTAAAGGGACACTGTAGGCATTAGAACGGTTTCATCTCATTAAAATTGTTATGGTGACTGGAGTGATCTGGCGCTGTCCCTCCATTTAGTGTTTAACCATTATTTTATTTTATTTTTTATTCACTTTTTTTATTATTATTTTGCAAGTTTGACAAATATTAAACAATATTAAACATTTGGGTTCAACATTATCTTTCAAATCACAACAAACCAGATTGATATGTCCAAATATTACAATGAGTCTACATGTATTTCATTTCCCGAATTAAATATTTTTTTAAAACCTTTAAAATCTGGAAATAGTTTTGATTTGAGCCCTTTGTCAAATATTAAAACATCAAAGAATAATACAATTCAATGCAAGAAAACACATAAATAAGACCTACAACATAAAATATATCTGGTCAACTATCGACATCTGGGGGGTGGGCGGAATCAATATCGCTTCTTTAATATATTTGTTTAGGAACTAAAACTAGAGCCATTTTCGGACAGTCCTTATCAGCGGTTTATCTTATATGTGGATCTATGCCAGGATTTGTTAGTTTGACTAACGTATAGATATTCTATTCTTCATAGTAATCGAACCATTTTATCCATATCTTATTATAAGAGCTAATATTGTTATCTTTGAAATAGACCGCCTTTTCAATTAGACCTTGATATTGGATCTGGGTTCTAATCTCTCTTATAGAGGGAGATCTGTTCTGTTCTGTTTCCATTTCCTGGCGATACAGAGTTGAATACGATGAGGACTTGTGATCAGCTGTCTTATACAGTGGCTATGGAGCTAAACAATCGTATTCTCATGTGTTTTCATAATAATGCCTCTTGATGTAGAATATTCTATAAAAGAGACCCGGAACATTTAGTGTTTACATACCCCAACACCACTGGAGGCCCAAGATTAGTTGTTTACAGTGAAAGCTTTTTAGAAAATCCAATATGCTTGGTAGGGGAGTCATTGGATTATTCATGGTTTGTCTGATTTGCATTTACACATATTCTGTATGACACATTAGGAATCATTTGCACAAAACTTCATCTGATTTTCCCTGTCTGAATCACTGCAGGACAAATAAGCACCAGATCACCTTGGTTGCACACCACACATGCACTATAAAATGATTGCTGTGAGATGGGTGTAATTGAATTCTCATGTTCTTGTTTCCAGTATGGTTATGGCCTCATTAGCAACTTTTCTGTGTTTTTCTTGTTTTTAAATTTTACTACTCTTTTCTCTCTCTCTCCCCCCACCCCCTTTTTTTAATAATTACAAATCCTGCATTTTCATTTCAGTTAACTTGAATCATTTTGGGAGGGGTTTGTTCAATTCCCTTTACAATGTTTGATTTTCAGTTCTTTGTAAAATTTAGTAGTAGGAAGTAAGAACCATTTTGTCTTATGGGGCTTTGTTCTGATGACTTAGAATGTCATCTTACAGTGATAGGTTTTGTATTTTATGTATATATCAATGCATGTGCTGTTCATGCATTAATGTTGCACTACAAAAGAAGACTCAGTATTTTTATAATAGTATTGTGTGTTTGTGTTTGTTTGCTTTGGGGAGGGGGGTATTTATTTTTATTTTTTTAGATTATGCATTAGACAGCAATAATAACTTGAATTGGGAAATATCATTTTTGGGTTTTTTGGAGGAAAAAATAAAATTCCCAATAGGGTTAACAAAGAGGGAGGTGAATTCATTGGAGCGAAACAAGTAGTTAGGTATGTTTTATCCCAAATGGCACTGACCACTGATCTGGTGCTATACAACACAAACAAAAACCTCTTATATATAAAGTAAAGAAAAAAAACACAAACTTTACACAATTCTGCTAGAATTATTGTAAAGACCTGTGTATGGAAGGCCCCCTCAAAGGGATCAACATGCTCTTTGCATTGGCTATGGTGCAGCAAGATTACATGTTCACATTCATTTGGTTGCTTATAATTGCAGCAGTTTGAGACCTAACCCAAATACTTTGTTTTTAATTTGAATACTTGCTCGGTTTGTGCTCAATGTGAATAGGTCTACGCAACATGCTGATTGAAGGTATTCATGGCATCTTGTTAGTTTGCTCACAAGTTTCGTTCAGATCTTTTCATGAATTAAATGGTTTTCAAGTGATGTTACTTTATAGAATATATAGTTCGTCAGGCATGTGTATGAGATTTGCTTCACGCTTGCTGAAAACCATAAGATGGCTTTAAATTATCAGCCACTTACTATTTGTGTGAAAGATGCAAATGTAAACTTGGAGGAGACCTAAGGAGTGTTTGGGTAAGTATATAGTTTTATTCACTCATTTTGCTAGTACACTGAAGTTGACATTATTATCCACATATTTAGTGAGTGAAGAGTACGTTTTAAAGGGATACTATAGGCATCGGAACAACTTTAGCTTAATTAAGCCTTTTTTGTGTATAGATCATGCCCCTGCAGTCTCAGTGCTAATTTAGCAGTTACATAATTGTTGTTTCTTTCTGTGCAGCCCTAGCCACACCTCCCCATGTTGTGAATCACACAGCCTGCATGGGAAAAAAATATATAATTTTTAATCAGATGTTAACTTGCTTTGGAAGTTTTGCCTGCTCTGTAAATGTAACTTTAATCAGGCCTCTAATTGTTGGGTTCAGAAGTGTTCTTATTACAAATTTGACAGATTCACATTAATAATAGCAGTATCCATGTTATTTGAGAATAATTATTTGTGTAAAGGGTGTTTAGTCACATGCACAGTTTGCAAACCACGCCATGGTTTGATTAGCCCTCTTCCCAGATGTGATAGGAGGCTCTATGTAGAACACTGCTTGAAATATGATGGAGCAGATATAGTCTGCAATAACCATATATATGTCTGAATGCCGTTTCTCCCCCCTCTCCCCAAACATTTAAAATGGCTACCAATGCCATTGTTACTAGGTCTTGTGAATATGTACTTATTATGTTAATAAGGGGTGGTTTTTCCCCAAAACTGATGGTATACAGTAATGTGAAATGCAAGCATCTTTTGCTATCTTAGAAATGTTAAACCTGTCAGCTGTGTGATAGCACAAGCGATACAATTTAATTGCCATTATGTCAGTGGGGGCGGGTGTTTTTTGATTTTTGTTTTGTTTTTTCTAGGACTCTGTTTCGCAGTGGGTAAAATGGGTTGGGGCACAAACAATCACTTTGTTTTAGACTGTCAGCTCTTTAAATATCTGAACCTGTAATGTCACTAGCTAATTGCATATTTTATCTCCCCTTTGTACAGCTCTGCAGAATATATTGGCAAAGTTATAAACTTATTATAAAGGTTTAGTATATTACTTGGTGTGACTCTTCCACCCTGAGCCTATTCTAATGTTTGCCTAGGGGAAAGAACATCTTGTTTTGTTCTGCTGCATGACCTGTATTCTAGTGTTATAATATGTATGTTAATATCATATTTAAAGATCGACCAATTATGATGATTTTCTGCATTTAATATTTGCGATTGATGAGAGTCCTGGTGGAGCTCTCATCTGATTTTTGTCTAACACTCTCCATTTGTTTTAGGGGGTCAGCCAAATGGCTTTTGGGTCCAGCTTGAGCTCCGAAGATGCTTCTCAGATGCCTGCAGCAGCTGTATCAGAACGATTTCCTCATTCCGCAGACCCAGCACCTTCGTATAGTAGTAACATGGAAGATGTTGATTAGCTACAACAGCAGGAAACGAGAAGAGATTAGTTTTGTTTTTGTTTTGTTTTTTTGTTTTTTTATTTGGGGGGATTAAGGGGGGTTCATATGAAAGCTGTGTTCTGTGGGTTGTACATAACTGTCTAAATCTTTTTTTTTTTTTCTTTTTTTCTTTTTTAAATAATTTTATGAAATTTTATTTTAAGGAGGGAAGGGTGTTTTTGTTTGAACACACATAAAAAATTGTTGCAGTCATATCCGCTCATACACACAATCCTTGCAGTAGCAGAGAGTCCATTACAGGTGTTTCAGGGGTTAATACACCCAATCACCTTGTCTTTCTTGTGGCATTGGAGCCCCTCAGTGCCCACTCTGCTAAGAATTAATAAATGGTTACTTTTCCTATTCATGTGCTTGCAATATGTACAGTTATATAGTTCACTTGTATTAACCGGTGTCACTGCAGTATCATTGACAAAAACTTTACTGTGTAAAGGGTGTTTAGTCACATCCACAGTTTGCAAACCACGCCATGGTTTGATTAGCACTCTTCCCAGATGTGATAGGAGGCTCTATGTAGAACACTGCTTGAAATATGATGGAGCAGATATAGTCTGCAATAACCATATATATATGTCTGAATGCAGTTTCTCCCCCCTCTCCCCAAACCTTTAAAATGGCTACCAATGCCATTGTTACTAGGTCTTGTGAATATGTACTTATTATGTTAATAAGGGGTGGTTTTTCCCCAAAACTGATGGTATACAGTAATGTGAAATGCAAGCACCTTTTGCTATCTTAGAAATGTTAAACCTGTCAGCTGTGTGATAGCACAAGCGATACAATTTAATTGCCATTATGTCAGTGGGGGCGGGTGTTTTTTGATTATTTTTTTTTTAACTTGCTTATTTGTGTTTTGTTACTTGTAATGCAATAGAGAATTAAATTTTGGGGACACATTGTGTTTCATATATTTTGACTAAAGTATCATTGTATCTAGGAATTTGGCAGGTTTGGAAGGTAATTGAGACTGACTGACTGAATTTGCCTGTACACCCACTCCACCCTAACCCAAAATAACTAATCTCTTCTCTTTTTGTGAAGTTCACATTTTCTTTTTTTAATATGGTGGCACACAATTGTCCTTAATTGGTTTTAACCCATCTTTGGGTCCCTCTCCAGCTTGGAAGGTCTAAAACCATTCTACAGACCTTTTTGTCATCAATGTCTAGGGAAAAAACTAAACGCAAACGTTGTTTACTAGCTAAGTATCATTTATTTTGTCTTTCTTATGGTGATTAACCAGTCGGTTTTAGGCCTTCCACAGATGGAGGTCTACATGTAGTATAAGGATTTGTCAGGCAGGCTTTTTTCTAAAAAGCCTGATCCACCCACATTGCATAAGGACAATTTATTTCAATGGCATGTGGAAGTTGTAGATTGCTTGGGATGAGGGAAGATTTAAGCATACAGCTTGAGGACTATTTCATATCAGTTCTGCTCTTTAGTAACTATTCCCACTGTGGCATCCAAAAACATGCAAATGGAAATTATAGATTCCCATAGAAAGCTCATCACTATGTATCCTGGTTGAATTACCGGTATTATCATTTCCAACTGACCTGTATTTGGCAGGGCAGTCCTGCATTTTGGAGTAATGTCCCAGCAAAAATAGGTCTAAAAACTAAAATGCAAGAGGGGACAGGGCACTTGGACCATTCACAGAGCGCTTCATCATGGTTTGACATGAGGAGGCAGAGTGTTAGTCAGCCTGGCCACCAAAAGGCAGACTCGCAGCCTACACTTTTTCTCTGACCATCCCAGAAGGTGGGTAGGGAACTTTAGCAGGTATGCAGTACTTGACAGTGTATGTATACATTTTTTTACATTACACAATTTTTTTATTTTATATTACACAATTGTATTATTACCGTACATTTATTTTTTTCCTGAGAAGACTTATTCCCCCTCCGCCCCCCCCTTCCTTGTGTGTCTTATGCCCTTTATTGTGTCTGTTACATAAATGGCTGTCGAAAGAGTTAAAATAGTCAAATAGGTGAGTCTGAGCATGCTGTAGCTATTACAAAACACAGATTATTGGATGCAGAACTTCAAAGGGTTTTGGGGGGGGGGGGGAAAGGGGGTTGTTTAAGGTTCAGTTAACAAAACCTGCATGTCTCGCCTAACACTGTTTCTATTCAAAAATAAAATCATTGTAGAAATCTGTATTTTATTAGTGATGCTACTGCTTTAAAGTAATCTATATTTTTTTTATTACTTCTCACAGCGGTCCTGAAGCAGTTTGTAAACGATGAGTCCTGTCTATCATTTACCTGTACTTTGGAAAATGTACATTTCCTAATACATTTGCACTCATTTTTTTTTATATACGCACAAAGCTACCCCAGTTTCTACATATCCATATTTAACATTTCCTTGGCTAATCCATGACACTGCATTTAAGGGGTTTTATTCACTAAAGTGAGAATTGTTGGGAATGCGAAGTGAATTTCACATTTTAGAAGCAAATCTGATTTAGAGAATTATTTCCAATTAAGCTATTCTGATCTTAAATTTGAAATTCACTTTTAATTGCGAACAATTCTCATTTTATTGAATAACCTATCAGTAAGCTCTTCAAAGCTTTGCTGTCTCTTGGTCCACAAAATACTGCACTATATATTTTTAACCCATTCTGAAGTTCATATATTTCTTAGCATGAATACTATAATTTAATGCAAGCAGTACATGGTAATAGAAGGGAAAAAACATAGCAAATATTATGTGTTTTTAGAAAAGCCTTTTGATTTTTGATTCTCCTCCCATCCACCCCCTCTTGTGGAGTCTGCAGACCCCAAGTAAGAAGTCAAACATTCTAAAACCGTTCAGGGGTGTGAGTGCTAGGCCACTCCCAGCAACATATTCACTAGAGCAGTGGTTCCCAACCCAGTCCTCAAGTACTCCCTTACAGTCCAGGATTTAGGGATTACCCAGGTGTGTCTAAAGTGGGTTTTATTTCTTTTCTAAAAACACCTTAGACACAACAGGGTAATTCCTAAATCCTGGACTAGAAGGGGCTACTTGAGGACTGGGTTGGGAACCACAGCGCTAGAGCATGCTGTTGTGATTGTGGTGTTTGAAATGTTCCTTTAAAAATCCACAGAACAGAGTAAATCTGTAACTTAGTTTTGTGTATATACTATTTTTACATTTAAAAAAAACTCTTGTTTATGGTGCCCCAAAGTGGTCCTTTTTAATAAAAAAAAAACAAACAAAAAAACACAAGAAGTCCAGCTGCAATTTGCATGGTCTTCGACAGGTCAGTGTCCTGGCAAAGAATCATTTGCGTTGTAGTTCAGCAGGAGCCGTATGGCCACAGATTGGCCAATCTTGCTGGAAGAGCTTCTTGTTTCCTAGGAAGAAAATTGAAGTCAATGTTACGTTTTAAGCCACAATAGTCAAGCTGAAAACTTAAGTGATTTAGAGATGGGTTTTTTTCCCAACAAGTTGCCTATTTTAGCCTAAACTTTAATATTTACACTTTTGTGATGTCATCACAATTTTATCTGCTTACCCTCCTTGCTTATTTTACTCCCGACAGTCATGCTGGGCTGAAAAACTAAAAGGTGTTATTAATCCTTGCGACAGGACACGTACAATTTCTTCAGCAGTGAAGGGATTCATTGTGAAATTTCTAATCACTACTTACCCCAGTAAAGCAAGTGTTTTGTATAATAAGTGTAAAACTCATAATACGCACTATTAATTAAATGCCTTTGCTAAGCCAGAGGGTTTGTTTGTATTTGGGGTGGGGTTGTTCTGTTAAGTTTGGTTGGTGGTTTGTTTGGTTTTGTTTTGGTTTTTTGGTTTTTCTTGGGAGGAAGGTTTTTTTTGTTTTGTTTTTTTTTGTCATCTTCCTTGCCTTTAGGTCTACGTGCATAAAACTTTTATTTTGTGTTTCAGTTGAAGACAATTGCTGCTGTAGTCTCATTGTATTTAAAGATTTAGACCGTAATTATTATTATATGTGGGTATGCTCCTCGGTGAGCTTACAAATGCATAGCACTCTAGAATATGGAAAGGTGGCTTTTATTTTTTTAGTACCAAACAGATTTTGGCTCTCTGATGGAAGATGGATGGAGATGCCCTGAAAGGAGTAGTAGGAAAAAGCTGTAGGTTGACACAGATTTTCATTATTTGGATTTCAGTTGTATAAATATAATGTATGTCCTCTGTAAGAAATAATTAAATTCTTCTGAAACTAAAAATGTATTTGAGTTTTTTTTTTTTTTTTTAAGTTTTAGGGGGAGTGTTTTTTTTTTAGTTTTTTTTTTAGTTTTTTACTGTATTGTAAACATTTCCTTACGATCATGCTATGTATTTTACATTGGAATTTCAGGAACTGAAAAGTAAGGGGACATTAACTACTGTGAAGCAGTTTTGGTGTATAGATCATAACCCTGGAAGCAGACCTCAGTAGAGGAGCTTCTATTCTACTACCTGCTTTGATCGGAAGTGCTCAGAGTGCGCACAACTGGTTCCGGGGAGAGGAACAGAAGCTCCTCCACTGAGGTCTGCCTGCTTGGACACGCTACACATGAGGTACAAGGGGTGGGGGGATAGGACACATGGAGATGCTGGTGGGGTAATGAAACTCATACAAAGGTTGGGGGGGCACCACACAGAGGGGCTGGGAGGGACAAAGAAACACACAGAAGGGCTGGTGGGAGGGGGGTAGTAAGAGGCCTGCTATTTGGCCGTAGCAGCCTGCCTGCTTGCTGACCACCAAAGTTATTTAATTGTAAACAAAACACTATTTTACACATTTTTTTCATAAAATATTCTTGAACAATTAAAGTTGTGGATGATCTGCACCATATATATATATGACTTATATGTAGGCCAAAGTTAGCCATCTCTAAAGTAAAGTGTCTCTGGCGTTATGTACCTCCCCATATTTTAAAGGGTTTGTTTAAGAAGCAAAATCCCTTCATTTAATGGAGTGCTTTTGGAGCATTGACGCTGACCTTACAAATGACATTACATTTTGCAATTCCTGCCCAGCCCATTGGGGGCTTTGAACTTAAAGGGACACTATAGTCACCCAGACTACTTCATCTCAATGAAGTGGTCTGGGTGTCTGGTCCCTCAACATAAAACCTGTGCTATGGACCAGGAGACAGCCACTAGGGGAGGATTTAACCCTGCAAGGTAATTATTGCAGTTTATGAAAACTGCAATAATTACAGTTGCAGGGTTCAGGGTAGTGGGAGTTGGCACCCAGACCACTCCAATGGGCAGAAGTGGTCTGGGTGCCTGGAGTGTCCCTTTAATTCTGGGCCCTATGAATAAACTGCGACTGTAGGGTAAAAGTCTAATGATGGTGCAATCACCATGGAAACCAATGAAATATTCCAAATGATTCTTATCTTTGCATTTTGTCCTACGATTGTTAAAATTTTCATCTATATGTGTGTATTCTTTCTTATCCTTGCACATGTTGTTTATTTATAGAGTAAGCTCGAATGGAGGTAAGTGTGAATGACCTGGCTGGTTTTACTTGTTTAAATATTAAAATTTTAATAAAGGAACACTATAGTCCGTTGAACAACTACAGCTTATTGTATTTGTTCTGGTGAGTAATCATTCCCTTAATGAATGGCAGTGCTGCACACTGTGTTTACTCCAAAAAGCCTTGTCTCCACCCTCTTCATGAAGACAATATACTTTCTTCATAGAGCTGAATTGATTCAATGCATCTCTATCAGGAGATGCTGATTGGCCTGCATTGTGTTTGGCTTGTGCTGGCTCTCCCCTTATCTGCCTCCTTGACAATATCATCCAATCCATTGCTTTCCTATGACAAAGCGTTGTGATTGACTCAGAACACTTATGATGATGTCAGCCAAGCAAGCAGATTAGAGGCAGAGCCGTCAGCAGACTGGAATAAGAGTAAAAATTTGCTATATTTAGGGGGGCAAGGGCAGGCCAGGGGGCTAGATGGTGGTTTTAACACTATATAGGGTCTGTAATACAGGTTTGTGTTCCTGACCCTATAGTGTTCCTTTAAGGTGTACCATATTATGGAGTCTTCTGTTGGTATTGCCAGCTTTTCCTGTATGCTTGGGCTTTGATTCAGTGGCATATCTGACATAAGTATGGCAACAAAGGCCTGTAAATCCATCTTGGAACATTACATTGATACTTGTTTTGGCAGTAAGGGGTCAAACTCACTAATACAGTGATTTGGAACCACGGGAGTTGTCTCTGAAAATCCAATCCTTCTTAAGAAGCTTAGCTTTGGTTTATTTATACAGCTTATATGAGAATCTGGGGAAATGCCAGGCGCAAATCCTGGGAAGATATAATTTGCAAAATCCTTCAGACAATCAGGAGTAAACTGGCGTGGGACCCCAATGCACACCATTAATTGGTAAAATGTGAAAATAAACATTTTAGATTAATTTTGCATTATTTGCTAAAATTGAAGCGTTTGCCAAGTTGTCTCTTTGCCCTCATGCTGCCCTCCTTCACCCCCTGTGATCACTTACATTTTGAATTTGTAACATAATCGCAAATCATGTGTAATGGTACATCAGGCTTGCATAACAGGATTAAGGTGATTATGTAACTTTTGGTAACATTACCCAGAAGTACTCAAACACCATTTGGTTATCAGAGTGCAATGTGACTTATTTTTCCCCTTCTGAAGAGAAATGTTAAAATAGATTAGCATAAATAACAGTATATGGCCCAAAATGCAGTTGGATTTTATATCAAGAGCAAAGCCATGCAAAAGGGTAAGCATACTTTTTACCACCTAAAGATGGAAAGCCATTGTGGGATTTCTTTTATATTTGCTAAGCATCAGCAGAGGGGCTAGGCTACTGACACAAACAAGGAAGGACCAAAGCATCAAATTTCATATATATTGGCAATTTTTTGAGGAATACAAATGCAATCTTGTTGTTGAAACCGGAGCCTTTCTCAAACTTTTCTACTTCTTTCTTTGACATAACTGCGACAGGACATTGAGCACCCTGTTCCAGCGCTTAATTGGCGTTTGAAGTCTCTACAGTGAGACTCTTGCAACATAAAGCCAACAATAACCTCAAGTGGTTGTGGTTATACTTCACACATTTTAACCTTTTGTGCTACTCAAGTGGTTGTGGTGCCTACTGTGCCCTTTCATACTGCTGTTTTAGGTTAAATGAAGTTGCCATGTAAAATTGGGTGGTTTTTTGTTTTTCTGTGTTTTGTTTTTTCTCTTTTTCCTTTTATGTCTTCATTCCAGCTTTCCAACTTGGCAACATGGATCTGTAGTGGTACAGCAGCATCTGGACAAGTCATTGGCGATCAAAGTGGCGGAGAGTGAATAAAACCATCCCCACCACTCCATGGTGTCCACCTGCATGGCACAAGGCTATTTAAACATTTACTAAATTACTTGGTCTCTCAACAATTAGCAGGTTTTATTTTTCTAGGTTTCAGTAAACCGCTTTGGTTTTGCTACCCACAAAAAGTTTGAGAAGTAATGGTCCATCCTGACAGAAGCAGATGTAAAACTGCAATGCTTGCAAGATATGTCGGCAAATGTACATGTGCAGCGCATGAGTTAAAGGGGAACGTGTGGTGGGCGTGAGCGTATACCACCTGGTTTTGTTTGCAATATAGAGATAATACATAAAACAGTTTTTAAAATAAATGTGAGAAAATGCTTAATTCTTCACCTCTTTAGGATTGTGGTATAAAGAACACAAGATCTTGAGATTTTTTTTCTAGAGTGTAGCGTTAACATTTTGCCTAATTTTGATGGGAGTTCTGTGACCTACACTGTTAGTGTGCTAACTGTTAAATATCTAACATACTATATCAATAAAGGGAAAATGTCAGACAGTTACGTATAGTGCTCTTAATATCTGGTGTGATAGTATTATACAGAAAGGAAATGAACACTATCAATAGCAGTAGATTATAATACAGGCCATCAGTCATGAGAAAAATGTAGTGAAATTCCCTTACATTCATATTTTCTTATTTCGTTATCATTTTGTTTAAAAAGAGATCAATTTCTTTTCTTGTGAATTTATCATGTGTCTTTAAACATTGTAAATAATGACCAAAGAGGGTTTAATAATGAATAACAAAGTACTAAAAGTGGAACAATCCGCTTGAACGTCACACAAATCTTTATGGCAACTGATCCAGTTTTACAACTTCTTTGTTTCTAACACTCTGTCAGCCCAACTTAATTTATTAATAAAAACCTCACAATTTACATCTTCCAAGCCTGCAGCACGACACTCTGTTTGTAGTAGAATCTACCGATTTAACATGCAAATTTCAGCTGGTACTCAAGCTGTGCATTTTCTAAGCAAAATCCATTGAAGTGTTTTTAATTTTTTTTTTTAAATTTTGCTTGCTGCGACAATGTTACATGGTTTCTTTATATTGTCCAATGGATTCTCATGCTCCATGTATTCTTTGACAAATGAAGCTTAGTGTAAGGAGATGAGACTTTGCATTTTATACCATGCCACAGTTGCTAGACACCGTGGGTTATTTTGGCAAACATTGCAGTGAGAATTAACTTTATGCAGCAATCTGTAAGCCATTTTGCACTCTCTGGTTACAATTGCTTAAAGGACCACTCTAGGCACCCAGACCACTTCAGCTTAATGAAGTGGTCTGGGTGCCAGGTCCTTCTAGGGTTAACCCATTTTTTTTTTTTTATAAACATAGCAGTTTCAGAGAAACTGCTATGTTTATGAATGGGTTAAGCCTTCCCCCTAATCCTCTAGTGGCTGTCTCATTGACAGCCACTAGAGGCGTTTGCGTGCTTCGCACTGTGATTTTCACAGTGAGAGTACGCCAGCGTCCATAGGAAAGCATTGTAAATGCTTTCCTATGCGACGGGCTGAATGCGCGCGCAGCTCTTGCCGCGCGTGCGCATTCAGCCCAGGAGGAGGAGAGAAGGAGGAGAGCTCCCCGCCCAGCGCTGGAAAAAGGTAAGTTTTTAACCCTTTCCCCCTTCCAGAGCCGGGCGGGAGGGGGTCCCTGAGGGTGGGGGCACCCTCAGGGCACTATAGTGCCAGGAAAACGAGTATGTTTTCCTGGCACTATAGTGGTCCTTTAAGCGATTGTTACACATACCTCCCCAGTGTCTCTGTTTTCTATCCTAATGTCCCTCTTTTCTAGGAGCACCACATTGTCAGTGTGTCAGAATGTTTACCAGAGCTGTACAGCAATAATACTTACAGTAATGTATCTTTAAATTATAATAAAAGTGTTTGTTTAGGGGTGTGACCAAGAGAGGAGCTGTTTAGGTAACTTATTTACACAAACTGATATCTAAACAAACCACATACCTCTCAACATTTAAAATCCATAAGTGGGACAGTTTGCCACACTATCCTCACATTTTACGACTGGTATTTATTAAAGATTTTGGGGAAAAACACTCATACGTTTGTCATTTTTGCAGAAGAAATCAGTTGCAATAAGAAAAAAATTTATTCTTTATTTTTCAATATTTATTCGCAACAACATAATACAATAAATATAGTACACTCTCCAAAAAGCATACCACAGGCATAAACTAATCCCGTGGTTCAAGTTGGGAAAAGTGAGGAATTTTTATACTTGAGCAAAAATCTGATAGCAATAAAATAAACAATATAATGAACTGAGCTGGTATCCTCAAGGATAACTTAAATGTCAACGTATTAAGATAGTATCGGGGACAGTTGTACTTTTGAAGGATATTCCGAGTTTCAGAAAACTAACTCTTAATTAAAATTGTTTTCCCAAACAAACGTATAGTCCACTTTTTTTATATTCCAGATATAAGCAACCTCCAAAATCATCCTGATTGCGTCGTTGCAAATGAAAGAAAAATGCATCCATGTACATTAATGTTTAATGCAGCAGTCAATGGCACTAATCTCACAGATGCACATTTATTGAATACATAAATTGAGAACTTGCAGCCTGATATGAAACCTATAGGGAGTTTATGTACAAAGGACTACTACTTATTATGCAAATTGGATTTCACCTTGTCCTGTCCTACTCAAATCCCAGCATTTATATTAATGTAGACTTATTAACACAACATCGATTTCACTATTGTTTGCGTACTATTATGGTGGCAATGCATGTACGATATTGGAATCAGAGTCATTGAGATGGGTAACTGGCAATGCGATTGGGAAATTCTTTTTATATTTCACTTGCTGCCAAGGTACAAGAGGGAAGGGTATGAGACAGACAGAGGGGCCGAGGGGCAGAATAAGACATCGGGGTTGGAGAGACACATGGAAAGGCTGGGAGGGATGAGACACATGGAGAGGTTGATGGGGGAATGAGATACTTGGAGAGGCTGAAGGGGAGGGAATGAGACACCTAGAGGAGCTGGGGAGAGGGACACATGGAGAGGTTGGCGGGGGAATGAGATACTTGGAGGGGGAATGAAACACATGGAGAGGCTGGGGATATTGAGATACTTGGAGGTGATGTGGAGACTTTGATACTTAAAGGACAACTCTAGGCACCCAGACCACTTCAGCTTAATGAAGTGGTCTGGGTGCCAGGTCCAGCTAGGGTTAACCCATTTTTTTATAGACCTAGCAGTTTCAGAGAAACTGCTATGTTTATGAATGGGTTAAGCCTTCCTCCAAATCATCTAGTGGCTGTCTCATTGACAGCCGCTAGAGGCGCTTGCGTGCTTCTCACTGTGAAAATAACAGTGAGAGCATGCAAGCGTCTCCTATGCGACCAGCTGAATGCGCGCGCATTCAGCCGAATGGGCGGAGAGGAGGAGGATCGGAAGAGGAGAGCTCCCGGCCCAGCGCTGGAAAAAGGTAAGTTTTTACCCCTTTCCAGAGCCCGGCGGGAGGGGGTCCCTGAGGGTCGGGGCACCATCAGGGCACTATTGTGCCAGGAAAATGAGTATGTCCTTTAAAACCAAATACAAATGTGGATAGCGCACTAAGAAACCAATGTGAATGTAATATCACTTCTGTGCACAGTGTGTATGTGTATATATATATATATATATATATATATATATATATATATATATATATATAAATATAACCGATTACATACTCTTTATAGGAAACTGTGCCCAATGGTATGAAGAAAGGACTTTGATGCAGTGTACTTTGTTTTTATATGTAAGGATTTACATGTTTGTTTATAATAAATGTACTTATTTTATTTTTAATTGCTGTTTGTGATCTCCATTACATGAACATCGGGAGCAGGGCCAGATTAAGAGCCCAGTGGACCTGGTGCTGACAATTATGACGGGCCTAATTACAGAATCATATCGACCAAAAACAGTAAAACACTCCCAAGCGTCATGTATCTGATGGAGATGGTGCTGGAGAGAAAGAAAACAGCAGCTATAAGAAAACACATACCCTAGGCTAATCTCTCACTAATTTATGTTTTCATCTTTCAAGTAAATCCATAACCCCTAACAGCAGTGTCCAGTCAAGCAGGAAGTCAATGGGCACGGTAAAAGGGTGTGCCACTGACACAAATCATGTAACCTGCCAAAAGGGGCGAACATGCCCAAAAAGAGGATATGTCTGCCCAAAGAATTAGAAGGCCAGCCTGGTATGAATGCATGTCAGGCTGCCTTCCAATCATGCAGCTGGCCAACTAAGGGCATACTATGCAGACAGCACCCTGAGCTTGGCATAAATGCATCTAATGATGCGCTCGCTCAAAGCTTTCTAAGGACTGTCCCCTAGCATTTGCGGGTCCACTTGTCTCCTTACCTTCTTACTAGCAGGCAGAAGCTCCTGGTATATAGTCTGGGACAGAGAAAAGCTGTATGTAGTGAGTGTAGAAGCACATTGTTAGAGAGACCAAAGTCAGCATTACCTTAAAGGATCACTATAGGGTCAGGAACACAAACATGAATTCATGACCCTATAGTGTTAACACCACCATCTAGCCCCTCATGCCTCCATAAATATAGCAAAATCTTACTGTATTCAAGCCTGAAGCTGTAACTCTGCATGCTGTTAGACTCAGAAAAACAAGCAGTCTGCTGACATCATTAGAAGTGGTGGCCTAATCCAATCACAGTGCTTACCCATAGGATTGGCTGAGTACCCTAGGCTGTAATGTAAAGACTGCATTTTCTCTGAAAAGGCAGTGTTTACAGCAAAAAGCCTGACGATAATGATTCTACTCACCAGAACAAATTCAATAAGCTGTAGTTGTTCTGGTGACCCTAGTGTCCCTTTAACTATATTCATTGTCAGCCAGTCCACACAAGTTTTGTTCCAATACATCCCTCTTAAGTTTCCAAACTTAAGTAAGGGTATGTGAAAAGTAGTTAGAGTTGCCACCTTTCTTGGAAAAACATACCGGCCTTGCTAATTTGCATAATTAAATATGTATGGGTGACATCACATGATGTAAATCACAAGGAGTGACATAAGAGAAAATGCTGTAAAATCACCAAAAAAACTACTTAGTTTGATTCTGCTGTATAGATGCATTCCTCCCAGTGGCCCCATGTCTCCCAGTGTCCC